CTCAGTAGAGTAACGCATACATATTACAAGGATGCAAATGTATTGAATGCTGGTATGCGTCGATATATATTTTATGTCTTATACATAAAATATGAATAAAATAGTCAATCGGAAAATAGTACTTAGGCAAGTGATGATAAAAAAAGTGGAATGTTGTGTAGGCACAATAGCGTCTTTTTTTTTTAATCTTTGAATTTCACACAACATTTCGTTTTTGTTTGTCATCACTTGTCTTGACAAAATCAAATGACAAAACATAAAAATATACCGAAATCGGCATTCAATATCACGCTATTCACTTGTCGCTCGTAACAAACTCGATACAGTTTCAGCCACCATGCAGTGATCTATTAACTATCTGGTGATCTCAGATCTTACAAAATATCAATATATTGAAGACAAGGAGAAATAAATCGCATTGCTTAAGGAGATAGCCATAAAAAATATTATCTAATAATAAATCCATTATGTACACCTCTCCTTTCATTACTTCCACCAGTTCAGACCTTCACAACTAAGCCGACCATGTCGCGTACACTTAGACAAATTAGCTTCCATTTCTATTCCATGAATAAGAAGGAAGTTTCATTCGGACAGCTTCTTCTCCCCCCCCCAAAAAAAAATAGCTACATTGTGTAACAGTCTCCTGAGAGGATACTTACTCGATCACTATAATCTTAATCTATTCAAGTCTAGGGTCTATCGTTATTTATCCTACAGATCTCTATAATCTCTGTTTATTTCCTCCTCTAACGTTCATTCAACAAACTCATTTAATAATACACTAAATTTAGTGAGTTTTGGGCTTTGTATTGTGAAAACATTTATCAAAAATATATATGTCATTACGGTAACATTTACATAAAAATGGCGGTGTAGTTATGGGTTCACTTCTCGGATCCACTTTTTTTTTCATTTTCTACAGGACACATAACAAACTAAACCTTTTTGATAATTTTAACAAATCTATATGGACGGCATATTGATAATAAAATAGTTAAAATAAGAAATCACAAAGAAACGTCTGCGAAAAATCCAATCTACACTTATAAAATTAACATTAATAAGAGAATCTCTATCATTGTTTTTTAGTAGACTTGAAAAGGCGACATTTTACTACCTCACCGTACTACCATTTTTTACTATCTTTACGTACAACATTGTTGAATTCACAATTATAAAAATAGCTAGAATAAAGAATATGAGCAATTGAACTCAAATAATTCATTTATTTATTTGTTTATTTATTTCTGCCTATCTTTACCTTATCTATCTATCTATCTATCTATCTATCTATCTAAGTCTATTCAAGTCTATCTATCTATCTATCTATCTATCTATCTATCTCTCTCTCTCTCTCTCTCTCTCTCTCTCTCTATATATATATATATATATATATATATATATATATATATATATATATATATATATAAATAAAAATAAATATATATATATATATATTACCTAAGATAATCCTAAGGAGCCAGGCCTAAATGTATCTTCACCCTGAAAATCCGTTTAGGTGAAACCTAGGTTAGTTTGACTGGCTCCTAAGGATTATCTCATGTCATTGCTCTACTTAGTGTACTGAGCACTTTACGTCGTTGTCTTTTTACTCGTTTTGTTTTTTTTTTTTCTTTTGACTTAGAGTTTAAACATTTGACGATTGTTTTCACCTTGTTTTATGTTCTTGGTTCTTTCTTTTTCATTTTTTTCTACAAAGTATCCATAAAGTCTCTTTACAATTTAAAAAAAAAATATATTACAAAGGCAATTGATGAGATATCTTAATCAGATTTGTTCTATGTACTCCGTAGCTATCAGGGATTTTAATCTCATTGCATTTATGTATTTCAGGTGTCCTGTTAACGAAAGATGTACTGTTAAATGAACTTCTAAAATTTCCAGATCGTTGGATTGGAAGGGGTGGGCCAATTCCCTGGCCATCTTGTTCACAAGATATCACTCCCCTGGACTTCATTTTACGGATTTATATTAAAGATATCGCGTATCGAACAAAGATGAAAGAAATCACTAAGTCAAAAAATCACTGATGCCATTCCCACCATTGGTGAGGTTATACTACAGCGAACCTGGCAAGGAATCGAATACCGTCTTGATGTCCTTCGTGTAACTAATGGTGTCCATATAGAGGTGTATTATATTGGTTAAAAATACTTCAATATCTACTCCTCATTTTCTAACAATTTCCATATATCTGTCAGTTTATTTGCTTTTGTAATAATTTTTTAAATTAAAAAAGACTTTATGGACACCTTGTATATATATATATATATATATATATATATATATATATATATATATATATATATATATATATGAAAAGTGTATAAAATATAAATAAATATAAGTATGTATAATTATTTATATATTATATACTTGGTACTTATTAAAAGCGCTCAATATCAGAGATAGAGCTAACATATTTGGTTGGATAGATGTGAGTTTGTGACCCTGGGTTTCACGCTTTAGCGATCGT